TCCTCCTGGGTGTTGGTGAGGTTAAAGGCCAGCCCTTCCAACACCTGAGCCTGGCTGGTGGCTCTGGAGCCCAGGGCCAGCAGGGCAAAGGCAGTGGAGATGCTGACTGGGGAAAAGAAAATGTTCTTGCCAGGTTCTTGGATGGTTGCTTGCCTGTAAAACCGGAAGGCAAAGTCTGTGTTGCTGGGGATTATCTGTCGGCAGGACCCAAGATGATCTCCTTCATGGGGATGTGGCTCTTGGGGGTCAGTTGCCTTGGGCTTGTCATTGTGGTGGTTGGTCTGGGTCAGGCTGTGGACGGTGAGGTGAAGCGTGGCCACCAGCAAGCACAGTGGGACGATGGCCTTCATCATCCTTTGCAGCTACTGTGTGGACAAAGAACGAAATGGTCTTGGATTTTGGAGGTCAGCTGTGTCAGCATCTCATCTTTTATTTCCATCTGCTACTACCTTCAGCAGCTATCTGATAATCTGTGTTATCTCCTGACCTGCTCCTTTACTATGCAAGTGTTCTTTAAATCCTCATGCTTCTGAGATTATGTGTGACTCCTATCCATTGCTGCCTACTTCAGTTCTGCTTTACTCCAGCTACAAAACTCCCTTGTTACTGGAGAACGAAACACGTGAGTATTAAAGAAAAATAAGAGGCAGAGGGAGAGAACCAGTCAAAAGGCTTTTTTTCTGTCTCTGTGTAAATCCATTTTATGTTCAGGCAGCATATCAGGAGCAACTCTTAATTCTTTTATGTTTATCTCTAAGAACTCTCAGGATTATTATGCTATTAGTGATTGAATGAGGCTTGCGTCAAATGACAGTGCTGTGTCAATGGGAAACAATACGAGACTGCAGCTCTCAAAAGTGGTATTCTTTCTCTCATTCCTGACTCATTTTAATAAACAAAGTGACTAATCACAAGAGAGCTGGTAAAAAAATTTATGTTGCTTTATTTTAAACAACCACTCATGTGACGCATGTCCTCCAAATGGATTCCTCTCTGTGTACCCCCCCCCATCCTGGTCATGGGAGGGTGAGGTCACTGGTGTGGGCTAAACTCTTCCTGGCTTTCTAAACATTGTATCAATGGGAAAGCCTCCTTTCCTAAGGCAAATAGCCCCGTGGCCAGAGCAGCGCTCAGTAAAGAGCCTGGATCATGGCATCTTGGCTGTTTCTGATGACTGTGGCCATTTTTTATTTGTGTATTTATTGCTTTCTTGCTTTATTTCTCTTTTACAGGTAAGGTCAAGAACATGTTGGAATGATTTGTAGTGTCTAGGATGTTTAACCTGTCAGAAAACAAGTAAGAGTTTTTTCCAATTAAAAATTATACTAATAACTAGAAAAGCAATTCCAAATAGCCTTCACCTAATGTCTTACTTGAAGCAGACCAGCTTCATGGAAGATCACGAGTTACCTGCTCACCCCTCCATCAATGGCAAAGGCACTCAGAGACAGTTTCAGCAGAGCAGATGAGATGTTTATTGGGATTTCCCCCACACTGTGTCAGCACTCTTACCACTAAGATTTGCGTGAAAAGGAGCCAACTTGTCCTTCTGCAGCTTTGCTCTTTGAGATCCGAGTAAATCAGGACTTACAGGGTAGGTGGACATAGCAAAATCAATAATCAGTTTGTGAATCCTGTCTAGACATGTTGGTGTAAATGAGACAGTTCATTCACCTCCATTTCTTTGTTGGTGACATGGACATTGGGATTGAGTGCACCCTCAGCAAGTTTGCCAATGATACTAAGCTGTGTGGTGAGGTAGACACGCTGGAGAGGAGGGATGCCATCCAGAGGGACCTGGACAGGCTGGAGAGGTGGGCCCAAGCCAACCTTATGAAGTTTAACAAGGCCAAGTGCAAGGTCCTACATCTGGGTCGGGGCAATCCCAAACAGAAATACAGGCTGGGCAGAGAATGGCTGGAGAGCAGCCCTAAGGAGAAGGACCTGGGTGTGCTGATTGATGAGAAGCTCAACATGAGCCAGCAATGTGCAATCGCAGCCCAGAAAGCCAACCGCGTCCTGGGCTGCATCAGAAGAAGTGTAGCCAGCAGGTCAAGGGAGGTGATTCTGCCCCTCTACTCTGCTCTGGTGGGACCCCATCTGGAGTACTGCATACAGCTCTGGAGCCCCCAACATAGGAAAGACATGGACCTGCTGGAGCATGTCCAGAGAAGGGCGACAAAGATGATCCGAGGGCTGTAGCACCTCTCCTATGAAGACAGGCTGAGACAGTTGGGGTCATTCAGCCTGGAGAAGATAAGACTCAGGGGAGACCCTATAGCAGCCTTCCAGTACCTGGAGGGGGCCTACAGGAGAGCTGGGGAGGGACTTTTTACAAGGGCATGCAGTGATAGGATGAGGGTTAATGGCTATAAACTGGAAGAGGGGAGATTTAGATTAGATATTAGGAAGAAATTTTTCACTTTGAGGGTGGTGAGACACTGGCACAAGTTCCCCAGGGAAGCTGTGGAAGCTCCATCCATAGAGGAGTTTAATCCCAGGCTGGATGGGGCTTTGAGTAACCTGGTCTAGTGGGAGGTGTCCCTGCCTATGACAGGGGGGTTGGAACAAGATGATCTTTAAGGTCCGTTCCAACCTAAACCGTTCTATGTTTTCAGTTATCTGGTTGTAAGGTTTAGGGAACATTAGTAGGGATAAAAAAATTAGATTGACAGTTGGGAAGTCAGAATATTTCCTCTTTTTTAATAAAACAGATTTCTTCTAGATGTGAAAGAGCTAGCTGCTATAACGTATCCCCACAATTTGCTATTCAATATTTCTTGAAATTAAATTCTGCTGTCATTTGAGTGCTTAGAAACCAGGTTTCACCCTTGAAAGCAAATGTCCTTCAGGACTCACTAGCTAAATGCGATACAGCAGCATCAAAATTGTTAAGGTTAAGATAACTGAGTACTTACATTACATTCAGAAGGATCTTGATCTCGTGTGGGTTGTGCTCTTTCTTGCTGCTTTACTCATACTGCTGTTTTCCTCTGTTAAACATTACATGGCTTCAAATACGTATTACCTAGAAGGACAAAGCTGAATGCTGATGAAGCTAGTTTTCTTGGACATCATATGCATGTGTCCACACCTCTTCACCCCACACAGAGAGCAAAGACCAGAGGACTCAGCTGGCGTGTAGAGTGTTACATCCCAAAGGGTATGCAACTCCTAAGCAAATATTTGTTGGAAATGTGATTTTTGTGCCAAGGGCAGCTACTTTGCCCTAGATGCTACCTGAGATGGAGAGAACTGTTTATCTGGAGACCCACAGTTTTGTCCAGTACTAAGCTCTGAAGGCCAGGGTCAGGATGAAGGAGCTGCAAGGAGCACCACTTGTGCTCAGCCCTGCTGCCCAGACTACGGGACACCACTTAGGTGTCCACATCTCATCTTTTATTCCTACACAGTAGAGACCCTGCTGGTCACTATTCAGAAGTGAATGAGTCCTCTTGGCATCATTAATAAAGAGCATACCTCATTCATTTATGTAAAAATGGTGAATTTTTGCTGTATACTGAATGGTAATCTTGTAATCTTTCAGACACAGTGTCTCCTCATAACCTCTGTGTCTCTGTTAAGGACCACTTAATATATCAAGATCCGAAAAGTACTTAATGTAGGCTTTAGCACTTGAAAAACCTGTATAAAACATGTGCCATCACTATGAGTGCCCAAACATGATACTGAACAAACACAACTGTTGTAACATATATAAACAGTAAACCAAGGCACAGTCCCAAATCTCTCAAAGAATAGCAAATAACAGAAGACAGCAACCCAGTTACATCAACCAGTTACAAATCAAGGTAGTCTCAAGTAATAAGTGTCAGCCTTCTTGTAAAGATATATTTCAATTTCCTGGGATTCTTCCAAGGGAAGATAAGTGCTGTGAAGCTGGCTGATCAGCATTCAGGGCTGGATGAACTGTTTAGATACGTGGTTTGGTCAGGAGAATACCTGATCGGTCCCTCTATGCCTCTGCTCCACTTTGCAGGACTTACTACGGTCTGCTCAGGAAGGGGTGACACAATTCCCTGGATCCTGAAGAGCCAAGGAGATGTGTAAGTAAAACAGTGTAAGCATGGCTGCTCCCAGTCTCCAGCTGTGCTGCTTTCAGAGGTACTTTGTCTACTGGAATCCATAGCCTTGGTCATGCAGCTAGGTTCCCTGCACAGTATCTACAGCCCCAGCTTTTTTTTTGTTTGTTGTGTTTTGTTGTTTGGTTGGGTTTGGGTTTGGTTGGTTTTTTTTCAGAATACAGCTGACCTTTGCTTGCTTGTTTTAGATATAGCCAAAGTTTTCTGTTAAGTAAAGTTTTGGAATTTATATTTTTTCTTACTAGAGTACTGGTTGCTGCTGTCTGCTGGAGCACTTGCATAGGTCAGGTGAAGCCTGATGGAGCAGACTGTCCTCTTCTGCCAGCCACAAAACCACTGCATTTGAATTAAATGAATGTATAAGCTAGAATGCCAAATTGCACAAGTGCAGTCTTTCAGGAAAAACAAGTGAGATGCTCACAGTGCTCCAAGGCAGTCGGGCTGGTGGCTGTTCTGTGCTGCCCCTTTAGTCATACAGCTGAGCAGCATTAAGCATTTACGCTTCTGTTAAACATTACATGGATTAGAACAAAATTATCTGAGGATGCAGATAAATGCTGATGAAATTATTTTCCATCCACGTGTAGCCATGCAGAGCAGGTAGAAGTCAGTGATCGCAGGGCCAGCTGGCTTTAATGTTTGCTGTCCCAAAACAAGCAGAATTGCCACAGCCAAACACACTTTGGAGAGAAGAGGTCCATGGCCATGAGCAGCTGTTCTGCCAGATATACCTTCCTAGCTTATTGCCAGCTAATGACACAGGTGCTAAAACCTCTCCTGAGGTGTGTTACGGCCTTCCTTGGGGCTTTAATTTCCCGACCATGCATCTCAGACACCTGCTGCAACATGCTAAACCAAGCTAATTTTGTGTTCTATGAAAAGCAGAGCAGAAGGGCTAATTAACACCCAACTTGGTTTTTTTCCACCCAAATGAACTTAGCATCAGTTCAGAAACAGTCCCACACTCAGAGGCCTTCTCTGAGCCTTGGTTTAGTCACATCTGAAGAGGAAGCCTGGGCAGTGGAGTCCACTGTGTAGCGGCACAGCCAGCTGAAGAAGAAGGTAGCAGGAGAGAGCCTCAGTGATGTAAAGAAAAGTTGTATGCAAGGGTTGGGGGTAATTTGGGATTCCCCGCATGACTCTGAGGTGAACCAAAGCATGCTTCAGTACAGTGAGAAAACTGGCAGACACAAATGCAAATGTTTTTTGCTGTTCAGACATTCATCTGTATTATTTTCTTGTTGACACTC